TTTTTTTTTTTTTTTTTATTCGATTTCGACACAGCGGCTGGACACACCTGACCCACGTGCCAGCCGCTTGCGGCCAGTCGACGTACGCCGTGGGTAATAGTTGCACGTTCGGGTTGCCTACCCGAGGATTAGCCGGTCGGTCGCACAGGCTAATAAATTTCGAGAGTTAGGATCCACCCACTCGAAATCGGAAAGGAAACCTCCGGTGCACGCTGCGTCCGCTTCCTGCACGCGACGTCGACGAGATTTAATTGACCGGCCACGGCTAGAACCCAGGTCCCTATTACCCTCCCTATGGCTCGTCCCTTGCCCACGCCATTCTTTCCAGCCGAGCTCCACAGCTCCCAGAGTGGCATATCCAACCGGAATTCCTGTCGCGACCGACTGGACATCTTATGACGACGCAAGGATCCTTTACCAGGCTGATATTCGCCAGCGAACTAGAAACTACGGCAAGAGTGCTGTGTTTTGTGTGATTAATGGTAAATAGGCAGTCTCGTACAGCGTATGAGGCAGCTTGTTCGATTTTGCGGCGAAAATTTCGAAGACCGACGAATATTCGATCGTGCTATAGGCTGTACTGTGGGTTTAAATTGATACTTTGAAGTAGCGAATGGAAACTGCAAATTCTTCCTTTGTGCATTACGCCCCTGAATTATTTGCATTGCATGAATGGGATGTTTGTGGCAAGTAGGTATTGATAGTATGTCGAATAATATGTCGTGTATCTTGATTATCTTGAATCTGTTGATATGTGTGTATTAATTGCATAGAGAATTTTATTTCGAATATCTTGACATTATACATTAGTATATATATTTTTATAGATTGTAGGAATGTTGGGTAGGCGATAGAATAAGCAGTGATGTAAATATGAAAATGATTTGTTTTAAACTAAAACTTATTCTACTCGCTAATAACTCTCGGCTATCTCTCACTTGCTATCTCTTAAAACTGTTTGACTGACTTTAAAACGCTCTAACACACTGACACTTTCTGACACTCTCTGATCCTTGTGTGTTTGACTCTTCCGCGTCTTTGCACTCTTATTTAAACCCTTGCACTCTGTCTTCTTTCATTCCCACGCCGTCTTTCTCAATCGGTCGGTCACGTATCCTAAATACTAACATCCAAATACTTACATTCCTAAGCTTTCACTCTTCACTTGCATTCGGCTCTGTCATAAACATCCCTTAAATTCGATCCTCTTGTTCGCGATCACTTTCGTTCTAAGCCCTAACATTCTTGAAATTTTTTCATAGCCGTACCTATTTCTTTCCTATAATATTGACTTATGTTTTATTAGTTTTTCCTTTTTCTCTTTTATAAATGTATCGTTCGAGCAATATTTAACTACGATTTGTAATGCGATCACGCCTGGAATTAATTTTGTAACGACGAATTTAGTTTCGTAGTATATCGTATACACCCTGATGTATAAAATTAGAGTTTATTGTTTCGGAGTCACTAGAAATTCATTTTGTTGGACTGTATATCGAATAAGACGTGTCCAAAATGCGAATTCCGAAGAAAAATATAGAAGGAACATAACGAGGACAAAGTGGTACTGAGTAATACACTAGCGTGAGTTCCGTATCGTTGCTGAACTCACGGGCGCCATCTAGGAAAGGATGGAGACATACATTCATCGGAAAGGGAAACTAAGTGAATTAGGTGTGGCAAACGGTGACTAACGGCACGATTAATGATTGGTCAAAGACTTCCAAAGGGATTTACATATTATATCACGTTAATTTAACGTCAATGTTAATTTCTAATCAGTTTTGGACGAGTAAAATTAATATGTGATATTTATATTTAACAACATTTAACATTAATATTTAATTGCAATGTTATAAGCCAGTTTTCATATTTCTTTCGGGAAATGCAAAAATTATACGTATAATTCCATCACTTTGTCTTTTGAGGAATAAAGACTCTTTAATAGGCAGATTATATACAGCAGTAGAAATAATTAAATTATTTTAGTTTTTATAGCGTAAAGCAATATGAAAGTACCATATATCAAAGAAATTAATTTTTTCCATAATTTTATCATTAGTATGAAAAAAGTATAGGGAATAAAAAGTAGAGATATTAATGGAGGCAATTAAGCAACGTCAAGGAGTGGTAGGGAAGATTATAAAGCGACTTCGATTTTTTAAATAAAGAGGACTTATGATTCACTTTACTTCTATTCCTCATATACTCACGGATATTCTAAAATGCACAAACACAAATGCAACACAGCAATTTAAGCCAGTGAAAATAACGTGAATATATTCTAAAGATACACCACTGTCAAAAAGTTTGGAAGGAATATAATCAATAATCATATAATTAGCTAGTAATAATATTGTGAGAAAGGTTATATAATTATTTATGAAAACCTTCAAATACATTACCTTTTAATTAATTATTGAAATAAATCCAAGAAGTGCCATGATTTCATAGCATCGTTCAATTCGTGATAATACAAATTTTATTATAGAATTTTTTAGTAAATAGCAAATTCAAAAATTACTATTACTTTATGCTGTATCAAGAAGATGTAAAATAATTTAAATAATGATATCCCTTCCAAACTTCCCAATTGTTATAGGCCATATGTAAGTACTCCGTTTAAACAATTATTTAACATTATTATCAAAAAACGTTTCGACATTTTGTTACGTATTTTTAATTACTAGAAGATAGAATAAGTTTCATTCTTTACCGAAATATTTTCGTTAGATATTCCTATTTTCCTTTCCCTTCGTTTCCAGTTAATAATTGAACTGGAATTAGATTCACTCTTGTTTTATTGCACTGAAATTCTTATTATCTGCAGTGCGGCATTGCGCACGGGTTTCCAAATCCAGCTGAAAGCCGCGATTCCTGCGCGATTGAAATAATCACTTTGCTGTCGCGGGAATGGGAAACTGTGTCATTCTCTTAACAAAAGGCAATGAATTATATTCCATCAGGGTGGAATATTTACCAACGAGGCGTGCTACAAATAAAGAACCTTCAAATTTCATCCAGTTTTTATCGACGAGCTCCGCCGCCCGATTAAATTGAATTTTACCG